GGGGGGGTTACGAAGGAAAAGGGGGGACAGGCAGGGACAAGCAGGTGTTATAAATAGATGGTTTCACGACGGTTGGAAATAAAGGTGTAGTAGATGGGTTGGGTAACCCTAAACTTCATCCCGACCATCGCAAACAGGGCGACTTCTTGAGAACATCGAGATAAGAGATAGATATGGACATATTGACAAGGCGATTGATTCACAACACACGTTGAGTGTGTGCAGTGCATCCATCGCCTCGAGACCGCCAGCACAGCTTTTTGCAAATAGTGACAGTGCCACGAGGAAGAATCATGTTTCGGCGTTCTGCAGCATAGAGATAAAAACTAGATTAGCACCTCCCGCCGACACATGCAGCTGCGCGGAATACACAGCCCGCGCATTGCACCCTATGATACGAGTCGGGGCAAGAAACGACAAGAGCAAACAACCCATCACGCCTAAGCACCTGACAACGTTGCTCCACTGGTTGAGCTTGAGCGGCAGGTCCCGATGACTCCTGATCCACCTGGAGAAGGCGGGGTACATGATGGTCTCCGAAGTGGGGCGGACCGCGATCGGCTCCTCGAGATCATCCTCTCCGCTCTACCAACACCACAAAACGACGACAGAGTCGGATGAGCATGCATTATCCGCTGGGGAGCAACGGGCGGCACAAGACAATTCATCGCCAGCGTAGGATTTGCAAGTCTTTGCCGTGTACAGTAGCTATTGGGTGCGTAGAAGAAACTAGGGCGATTGGGTATCCTAGATATGCTGTAATTTCGCGTGCTTGAGCTCCTTCAACGAGCAAAGGAGGGGGGGCACAACAGACAATATTATTTCCCGATGGGGGGTCGAGGAGTCTTTCCACGTTTTACTACTGTACACTACCAATGGGTATCATAGTACGTGCTGCGGTTATCGAAGACTCGACCTCGTACCCCCAGCTCGACACACGTCACGTCATACGCGATGGATACAAAGGTTTATACTAGTCGCCACAGTTTTCGGTCTCCCACGGCACCTGACTTGGGCACACAGGAACTGACGAACGGGATCACTCTCCGGCGCAAGGAAATAGGGAAAAACAGGCCACCGACCGAACCGCCGTGACGCGCGCGGCATCATCCAATCAAAAACGACTGTTGCAGGCTGCGGTCCACACCAACACTCGAGTAGAATGGATACATTGTTGGCGACAATCAACGCATCCATCCCTTTCAACCTCGGTGCCATCGTTATCGATACTCTTCCTGTGTAAGTATACATGAATTTCCCAAAAAGTCACATCACGGAATTCAGTAGCGGAGTCCGAACGGAAAGGGGGCACTACGGTATGTACCACCGGAGGTGCATTCGTTCGGAGCCGGGACCCCGCCTCTGTCGTACCTTGGTTACCCACGCCACCTCCGCGGCGAAGCCTTCGACGTGCGCTTTTTCCGCCTCCAGCGCTTTCTTCGACACGAACAGAGGGAAGTACGAGTTCTGCACACACAACAAAAAACGAAATGGCGGACGCATAAGAAACTGCCACGGGCAAGTCAACCGCTGGCATCACTGCGGGATTTTTCTCGGCATGGGTATATAAGCGAAAAACGAGATATGAAAAACAAACACGAAGTATGACGCAAGAACAAACAAACCGACTAGATAGCCGAAAAATGTGCACATCTTTCGGCGTATGATAACTTGGTGTCGAAATCCTAAGGGTATCATACGAATGTTGCAAAATAAGAAATGTCCGCAGCAAAGCAAGCGAGAAGGATATGCCTTCGGCGCAACTACTGGCATGAAACGGGGACAGCGAGCACACATGCTGCATCCACGATACAACCACAGTACAATGTTCGAAATATTTCCAACTACAGAAATCAGCGGTGCGGATGGAAATTGCCATTTCATTCATACCTGGACATCGAGCTCCTTGATCTCCTTGTCCATCCACTGCTGGATCGCTTCCCACATCTGGTATGCCCAGGGACGGAGAATGTAGCAGCCGGAGATGTCGTAGTAGTCGATCATCTCCGACAGCGTGATCACCTGTTAACATCAACAGGCACGATAAGGAAAAGGTTCAACGAAAAAAAAAAAATCAAGCGATAGAACAGTACGGACAGAAGAAGGTACTGGGTAGATAGAACGGAACGGTTTTTAATGTGACGACAACAACAACAACAATTAAGAATCATAGACCAATTGTGTACACCTTAGGCTTGATCCGGAATCGTTCGAATGGCAAACCAGGTCAAACCAAAACTTCAGGCAAGCAAAATTTCATAGACGAGCAATCATGGGAAATAAACCTCAAGCTTGCTTCGGAATCGTGTATCAAGGGACGGTCAAAACAATGTCCTGCAGGTCCCGCGCCGAAACCACTGCCGGCGAATTCCGCACGACGCCCCAATCATCACGTCACCATCACCACCAACCTCCGGCACGTGATGTTGTATTCCGCATCATCGATACCGAAAACAAAGAGGAACTCATCATCGGATGGACGAAAATCACGCCCTGTATCGTCCGCAAAGCCAACACACACCGTCCCGCTGCATCAACACAGAGACGCATCCATCACCTCCAACCAGCCATCCATTCCTTCCACGCTACACCCGCCCTGCGCCAGGTGGGTAAAGCCGTCGCAGTCGGTAGCGGTCGGCTGCGCCAGCAGTACCCCCCCATCCAACGCATCACAAAAAAACAGTCACCATCGGACCGCCGTCGTGGGCCAGGACACGCGTCCTCCAACTGCGCTGCGGACTGCGCCCACCTCTCTGTACCAGGTGGGCAACGCCGTCACGTTTCCTGCTAGCAATCTGCGGCACACCAACAGGACGCACACAGAGCCCCCCCCCCCCCCCCCCCCCCCCCCCCCCCCCCCCCCCCCCCCCC